AATCAACAAGTTCAATCAGAGCCGTGTGTTTGAGTGGAAACAGGCCGCTGAGGTCTGAACGGGAGAAAAGGCTTCCTGAAACGTCTGGTAGAATGAACACAACTATGTTTGATAGGCCTGTAATGAAAGCGACAGCTGCGGTGTGTGTGTGTGTGTGTGGGCAGACTACACAATGGCAGTGAAAACTCAGCCTATTCCTGACCACTGGCTCCATGTCAAACACGGGGAAAAGACGCAAGTGAAGCTCTCGTACGACTCTGCTCTCCGTGTTCCTGTCAAATCAACAGCTTTCACACAGATACAGGTCTAAGTGTACAACTGTGCTCAGCAGATCCTTTAAAAACACTCATTAGTCTTCAATAATTGTTTAGACAGAAGAAGTGTGCAGTACTGACAAGAATGATATCTCAATATTTTTCCCATAATGAGTAATTAAACAATATTTAGCTGAGTGTGATTTTGTGCTGGCATTTTAAGCCTGTCATGGAAAAATAAATATGATACTAACACCGCAAGTAGGTGGCGGGAAGACCCTGTCTCAATCAGTGATTCATTGAATCACTCATTTAAACGATTCATTCAGAACAGCTTCAGAATCTTCAGAAACAAAGCAAGCAACTGTCTATATCAGTGGTTCTCAAACTGGGGTACGTGAGGTGACGGAGGGGCTACGCCAACAAAATTCTGAGTTTTGGCATTCATTTAATTCTACCTCAACTTACAGTATCATTAAAACCAAACATGTATTTCAAACATGTGATAGGATGCCCGCTGAATATGCTGCTTTAGCAAATCACGCTGCTGTTCAATGTATCTTTAACTAGATCTTCACTTAATATAGCATGAAGAGCAAATATCGACACGCACTGTATTTTTACATTGAGATCGATTTAAACTCTCTTCGATGAAGACACATACCCTGTGCGAGTTATTGTTGTTTTGTTTTTGTTTTTTTTAAACGAGCAAGAATGCAAATTTCCCTGAATATCCAAACGATGGCAAACGTGACAATTATTACAACAGTTCAACAAAAAAGGTCATATTAAGTGAACATTTAACATTTTAAATGTAGCCTACATTTTAAACAGGATGTTGTCATGTTTGTTATATTTTGCAATGAAATAATAGTTCCAAAGATGTCCATATCATCTGGTGCGTCTCCAAGCAACACACAGCAGTTTCTCGTTAGTGAACGAATCTGCGGCTTTGAACGATTTGGAGAGTCAGTGATTAATAACCCATTCATAACTACAGCCAAAGAGTTTAGAAGCCAGTATAAGTTCTTTGCTACAGCATTTTGTGTCGTTACTGAATGAATGAATGAATGAATCGAAACGAAACGAAACACTGCAGGGTTTCTTTGCGACATACAAATATTCTTTGCTTAGAACCATTTCATTGGAAAAACAGACAACATTGTTTAAGTCGCTGCTTAAGACACACTTGTGTTCCTTGTGACTTTTTTTGTGTATTTGTCGTGTGTGTGTGTGTGTGTGTGTGTGTGTGTGTGTATCCTGACATTGTTAAGCACTTTGGTCAACCATGGTTGTTTTTAAATGTGCTATATAAATAAAATTGAACTGAACTAAACATTGTGTCTAATGTGTAATTCACTTAAAACTAACATCTTGTTTGTTGCATTGTTCGTTGTATAAAATTAATCTAATTTGCAATCGCGCTGACATGCTGATATTCAGGAAAACAGCACTCTGGATATTTTTTGCATAACTTGAATTATAGGGTCATTCTAACGGCATTTTAATAGGATTCATCAGATAGCCAATGCGTTAGGACTGTCAAGATGCGTTTCTGTTAGTTTTTTTGCAAAGTGAATAACACTCCATAATGTAAGCTTGATAAAGCAACTCATATGACAGCCTATCCTAGATGATAAATATCGCACGCATACCCTTACAGACAGAGGAAGAAACAAAACACTGCTTTCGAGTGAATGAAACGGCAGCGTGTTCATGTCAGCTCAGTTCCTGAATTCATATCTAAAGTCAGCAGGAAATCAAAACTATACTATATCATCACGTTCCTGATCGTACTGTGAATTATTTAAAAGTATGTTATTTTATAAAAAGGTTTTTTTTCCCCATCTCTGAACAATTGATGCCATCAATCCATGTCCGTGACGTCAGCCGTAGATTTCCGAAGAGCGTTTTTGAAGCTCAAAGTGGGCGGAGCACGTCACCCACACGTCACTCCCGGATAATCGAAACTGGGCAAAGAGGCGGGAGCAGGTTGCTGAAACCACGCCCACCTAGCGTGACGGTGGTGACAGCAGCGGCAATCTACCTGTCACTCAAGTGGCCACGCCCTTAATTATGCAGAACTTTAAGGCTTAATATAATTTAAACAGATGAGTTATAAAAAAATTCGCCCCCTCACAGTAACAAAATTAGCTATATAGATCAAAATTATTTTTTGAACCAGGCTGTAAACATGTTTTTTTCTGCTGTAAAGTTGGGCATTTTAACATGGCGAGTCTATGGGATTGACTCCCTTTTGGAGCCCGCCTCTAGCGGCCAGTCGATGAATTACAGTTTAAGTCACTTCTGTGTTGGCTTCATGAGAGAGAGCGGGAGGCTGCCGCTTGCATCAATCACTATTATTTTTAACCACCTCCCACCTTATGTAGCTCCGCCCCTTTACAGCGCTGCGCTAAGTGCGCTCCTTGTCTTCGGTCTTCCGCTTTGTATTTCCACGTGAAGTAAAGTCGTGCAAATTTATAAATGAACCGCTCGTTTTAAAATCTGCCCAGTCTACTGACATTTGTTATGGCATTCGCTTCAAACATTACAATGCACATGATAATTTTCGTTAACTCTACAGTAAGTAAATCCACTTCACCAGCTAATTACTCTTTAACAGTGATGCTAGAGAGCTACGCAAATATTGAAGTTCAAAGACAGAGTTTTAAAGATGACTGCGAGAAGTCAATTATCCGTAAATAAAAATCATAGATTTATATATTTATTTAATAAATGTCAATAACGGAAGTTCAAAGACGGACAAAGACAACAAACAAGTTAGAAACCACTTAAGCCACTCCTTATCAACTGCCTAACAATAATTTATAAGACTTTAGCAACTACCTAGCAACAATCCCTAGCTGCCTAGCAACCACCTTGAACACCTTAGCAACCATTTGAAACACTTACAAACTGCCTAGCAATCACTAGGCACACTTTAGCAACTACCTAGCAACAATCCCTAGCTGCCTAGCAACCACCTTGAACACCTTAGCAACCATTTGAAACACTTACAAACTGCCTAGCAATCACTAGGCACACTTTAGCAACTACCTAGCAACAATCCCTAGCTGCCTAGCAACCACCTTGAACACCTTAGCAACCATTTGAAACACTTACAAACTGCCTAGCAATCACTAGGCACACTTTAGCAACTACCTAGCAACAATCCCTAGCTGCCTAGCAACCACCTTGAACACCTTAGCAACCATTTGAAACACTTACAAACTGCCTAGCAATCACTAGGCACACTTTAGCAACTACCTAGCAACAATCCCTAGCTGCCTAGCAACCACCTTGAACACCTTAGCAACCATTTGAAACACTTACAAACTGCCTAGCAATCACTAGGCACACTTTAGCAACTACCTAGCAACAATCCCTAGCTGCCTAGCAACCACCTTGAACACCTTAGCAACCATTTGAAACACTTACAAACTGCCTAGCAATCACTAGGCACACTTTAGCAACTACCTAGCAACAATCCCTAGCTGCCTAGCAACCACCTTGAACACCTTAGCAACCATTTGAAACACTTACAAACTGCCTAGCAATCACTAGGCACACTTTAGCAACTACCTAGTAACAATCCCTATCTGCCTAGCAACCACCTAGAACACCTTAGCAACCATTTGGAACACTTAGAAACCAGGAGCTGCCATGTAGAACAACAAGCTACTACATAGTCTTTTCTAGACTTTTTCATTCACATTATGCTTTACAGTTTGGTAGCTGCTTCATATTTTATCAGTAAAACGCTCATTTCACACTTCAGTTATCAGGCAAGAAGAGATTCAAAGTTCATCAAGTCCTATTTTCTCACTTTTTTAACCATTTACATGACTTTAGTAAGAGCACGAAATAGTTTTACTCTCCTCCACTCACAAAGAGCAATAAGTGTCCCTGCAGCACAAAAGCAGTGTTAAGTCGCTGGGGGATATTTGTAGCAATAGCCAACAATACATTGTATGGGTCACAATTATACATTTCTCTTTTATGCCAAAAATCATTAGGATATTAAGTAAAGATCATGTTCCATGAAGAGATTTTGTAAATCTCCTACCGTAAATATATCAAAACTTAATGTTTGATTAGTAATATGCATTGCTAAGAACTTCATTTGAACAACTTTAAAGATGATTTTCTCAATATTTAGATTTTTTTTGCACCCTGAGATTCCAGATTTTCAAATAGTTGTATCTCAACCAAATATTGTCCGATCCTAACAAACCATACATCAATGGAAAGCTTATGTATTCAGCTTGTATAAATCTCAGTTTGACCCTTGTGACTGGGTTTGTGTCCCAGGTCATGTAAAAGAATAACACTTCAGAGCTGAACAAAACTACATTCGGCACATTTCAATCCGAAGCGAGTTCCAGTGCATTGGTGAGCTATAACAGTGTGAGTGTCGGAATCACACAAGACCTCGATCAGCTGAACTACAAAAAACATGTTTCATGTTTTATCAGTCAAGAGTTTGGGCACAACGACTCATTCACCCTGTTGCCCACCTGTCAGAATAACAGTAACGTGATGAGAAACACAAATATGATGTAGTGCCACTTGAGCTTCAGTCTGTTCATGCATCACCCAACTTCAAGAGCTGATTTTTTTACTTATCATTGTATTTTGTGAAGTAATTTGCATGCGTTCAGATCACAGGTTTTTAAGACCACGAAAACCTCAGTGAAGCGCGTCCAAACTTTTGACCTGAAAGCAGGTGTCATTGGGGCGTTTTACCTTCTTTTTACCCTTGCAGTGGCAGCACACCGTCCACAGGTACTTGAGGGTCCTCCACAGCAGGATGATGAACAGACCCCCGAAGAAAGTGACCATGGAGGAGGCGAGGAAAGCCCACCACATCCTCTGGCCCCTGGGGTCACAGGGTACATCACTGGTGTAGGGGATGATCACAGCCATGTTCCGAACCGAGAGCGGATAGGTCATTATTGTCTCATCACCATCATCTTCTGGTTCTTCAGTGGGGAGCATCGAGCGTCTTTCTGGAGATCCCTGCAGCGCCCCGCTCCCGACGATCAGCCATGTTCGGCAGGGCAGAGCCCCGCGTGTGCGCACTCTCCTCCCGCTGCGCTCTGCGCTCTCGCCCGCTGCGCGGTTCTCCGCGTAATTCAAAAGTCTTCCCCAAAACGCACGCAAACTGCTACTGGAAACGCGTCGTCGCGTCTTTAAACGAGGTCGCACGCTGGATATGCATCATGATGGAAAACATCCCCACGATTTAAAGCTTGGTGACGGGTCTTCCGTGCGCTCTCACTCACTAACGTGTTGCGTTCAGCTGCGTTCTATCCATTCGTGGCGTTCAGGGAGATGCACAGGTGCCGGAGGCGGAGCCAGAGCGTCTCCAAACCTCGCCAATAGCCAAAGCATCCATCAGTCGCTATTATTTGACAGAAATCTGTCGTGGTAACTACCGTTTTGAGAAAAGTATGTTTAGTTTTTAGGTTGTGGATTATGGCAGGTGGGCATGAAAATATTTAAAACGCATTTAAAACGTTTCAGTAGCCATGAAAAGTACGATTTCAAGTTCGTTTGCATTGACGATGGCAAAGCCACTTTAACGTCATAATGTCATTATGCATTTATTATAGATTTACAAAACACAAAAACCTTTTTTTTATTTTTAGTTTAAAATGTGTCTTTTGCAAACATTTCTTTTTATTTTATACCAAAATATGGCATTTTCAAGGACACCATGGTTACAGTAAATGTTTGAAAGGCTCATTACATTTATAACCATGATTTTATACCTAATAATGAATCATGGCAAAATTATGCATTTATTATAGATTTACAAAACACAAAAAACTTTTATTTTTAGTTTAAAATGTGTCTTTTGCAAACATTTCTTTTTATTTTATACCAAAATATGGCATTTTCAAGGACACCATGGTTACCACAGTAAATGTTTGAAAGGCTCATTACATTTATAACCATGATTTTATACCTAATAATGGATACCAACTTATTTATTGTTAATTATTGTGTATTTATTGGCTTAATTATTGTGCATAGTCAGATCAACATGTGTCATATTTTGTAACATGTTGCGTAAATGCATATTATATTTTTATTATATATGTGCCTGTCATTGAAAGGCTTTCCATCTGAAACCATGCACTCCAGATTCTGGGAAATGTAAAAATAATCAATAAATAGATAAACAAAGATGCAAACTTCCAAAAGCTGACCGAGAAAGTGGAAACACTTTTATTTTTCTCTATGGCTCCAAATAAGTTTATTTTTAACCTAAATGTTTTTGGGATCAACGTGAGCTTGTTTTTCCTTTTGTATGATAACAAATAATCTTCCCTCTGCCTTATGATATTTTCCGCTGATCAGCTCAGCCAGTAATAATATTTCACCTGATGTGATGTTTATGTAATCCTGGTGATGGAGAAGAGGCTGAAGCAGGATATGACGCCATCTGGTGACTCTTCACAGGAAGTGCATCATCACATCATCCACATGAGCTCTGGGACACAGCACACATTACATTAAATCATGTTTATAGAAATGCATAGAATATATGAGACTTGAAACTCCAAGTTGTCCATGAACTCAGCATAAACTACAAACATGCAGACTCGATACATACAGATGGAATAAAGACAATCATTTTATAAAAATAAATGTTTACACGGTAAAATATGCTGGGTCATGTTTAATTTAGACTTTATTAATGTAACAATTACAAAATCATATTTTGTCTAAATGTGACAGTACCAGGGTGTTATATCATTATAAAACATAATGGAAAACAGAATTTTAATTGGAATTATTGTTTTTTCCAGCTACAATCTGAGCATCTGCACCAATTCAACACCAGCGTCATTATTGGCAGGACTGGGAGAACATTACATGATGTGAGACTTTCTATCTTTGTTGATGAAGCTAAACCAGACAACTCGTTTCATTGGTCAGCACGGGTCAGAACAGGAAGTGATGTCACAGTGAACGTCCTTTAGTAAGGTGAACAGGAAGACTAGTGTAGTACAAAAGCTTTCACTAGAGAGAAGATTAACTAACTATTGCTGAACGAGGATTACTCTGGGATTAATAAAGTAGGGCTGTCTACCTTTCCATCCAAATGAGTGCAAAATACAGGCAAAGCAGAAGAAAGCATTTGGCACGTTTGTTTCTGAAAACGAGAGGAGCTTTTAAGATACTACGAAAAAGAATTCAGCTCTGCCTGATACTCGGCTACAAAAAAACATTTAAATTAGAGTTACAAATGAACCAGACTGTAAAAATAGTCAGAGCATATAGTTAAAATTATCATGCAGCAGATTATTGCATCGTTCATTAAATAAAAACAAGTACACTTAAAAGAAAATGAAATAAAGAAACTGCTACATTAAAGCTTAAAGGAATAGTTCACCCAAAAATGACAAATATCTGCATGTCGTTTCAAACCCGGAGATCGCAGAAAGATCACTGCTCTTTTCTGTGCAATGAAAGTGAATCAAAAAAATTCTGATTCATATGACAACGTTGAGTGAGGAAAAACCTCAAAAAGCTCTCTAAATACATTCTTTTATGGTGCTTTTATGCTTTTTGAAGCACGGCAACCTGTCGGCTTTCATTGAGTGGAAAAGAGCAGCTCGAACATTCTGCTAAACATCTGCTTTTGTGCGCCACAGAATACAGGCTTGAATAAATGATGACAGAAGTTTCATTTCGGGGTGAATGAACCCTTTAACATGATCAGCGATCAGAAAACAAACTTAACGGTCAGTATTTGTAACCTCAGAAAGCCGTAAATTGAGCGCCTGTGTCGAACTAGCATGCACCGATCGGATCAGACCCACGCGGGGACAGATACATGAAGTTAAACATTCAAGTAAGCTGGTTTATAAACCTCACCTCTGTAAACACGAAGAACTACATGAAAGCCCTCATAAATTAGTGTTACCACAGAGAAAACACAGCGAATGGAGGATACTGCTTCTCATCTAACAGTTGTGATCGTTGCCTGAGAGTTTGTGTGTGCGTGGAGTGTGTGTTCAGGGCTGGACGATACAGTCAAAGAAAAACAGTGATATTTACATTATATTATATTTATAAGCAACAAAGAGACGTTTCTGAGTGATGATGCAAATCACTGAATCAGAGTTTTGAATCGACTGATTGCAGTCCATCATGAAGCTTGACCACCAAATAAAAACATTAAACAATTAGGAAATTCATAGCTGCTCATAAAGCACTTCATATTTAATGAATATATGATATAGCGTCCAGCCCTAGAGGTGTGTAGTGAATTTAACAGCAGTGGAGTGTTGTAACAGTGGGAGATCAGTGGCGATGTGTTGTTATTACACTGCAAAACAATTATTTTCTTACTCTGTATTCTTGTCTTGTACTAATATCTTAAATGTTCTTAAAGGAATAGTTGTGATGTGATTGCATCAGTGTCTCAGCAATGGATGCTCTTCAGTGAATGGGTGCCGTCAGAATGAGAGTCCAAACAGCTGATAAAAACATCACAATAATCCACACCACTCCAGACCATCAGTTAACATCTGGAGAAGACAAAAGAAAGAAATCCATCATTAACAGGTTTTTAAATACGAGTTCATAATCCATAACTCTTCCTCCAGTGAAAAAGTGCATCTCCTGTTGTCTCTCACATCAAAATCCAGCCACATATTAGTTTAGAGCTGTTTAAACGCTGCTTGATCTGTGCAGATTTCTCTCCTGATTCACACCAGAACACTGACTCACTGGAGGAAGCGTTATTATGAATTATGGACTCCTATTTTTGTTAAAAATATCTTAATGATGGATTGTTTCAGCTTTTGTCTTCTCCAGATGTTAACTGATGGACTGGAGTGCTGTGGATTATTGTGATATGTTTATCAGCTGTTTGGACTCTCATTCTGACGGCACCCATTCACTGCAGAGCATCCATTGCTGAGACACTGATGCAATGCTACATTTCTCCAAATCTGATGAAGAAACAAACTCATCCTGATCTTGGATGGCCTGTAAGTGAGCACATTTTCTGCACATTTTAATATCTTAATGAACTACTGTTTTAAAACAAAAAAATATTTGATTATCTTATCCCCCTGACAGAATTTGTTTCTTGTTTTAAATCACTTAATTCTTCAGAAAACCAGACGTTAAATGTAGCTTTAGATATTTGTAATGAAAAACAACAAAAATAGTAAGTAAGTAGATCATTTTCAGCAGTGTGCTGTGAAGGATGTGTGTGGTTCTTCACATGCTTCCATCAGGAATCCAAAGCACTTTGTTCTGCTCCTGGTCCACGATGGACATGATCTGAGTGCATATGTTGGACAGACTGCCGGCCTGGACGACGCCTGCAACAGAACGGCATCACAAATCACTCACCAGCACGCCGTCGTGTGCGTAATCGTGTAAATGCATGCGTGTGCGTAGGCCTGGGCGATAAAACAGTATCGATATTTATTCTATGGTACACCTTCTTCGATAACGATAGAACATTTTTTCGATATAGTGCACGATATAGGCACGTGCTATGAGTGACGCAGACCGCACACACAAACACGAGGGCTGTGCCTGCCTGTGATGAGGAGATTGTGAATTAAAAAAATTAATATTAGTCGAATTTAAAATAAACATTTGCATTTGAATGCAAAAATAGTACAATCAAATGTTAGGTGTGCGTCAGTGGAGCGCGAGATGCAGTGATGATGAAGTAAGTGACGTTGTTGCACGAGCTGCTGCGTTACTCATTCAAAATATTAGAGAAATATAGAAGCTCAATGCGGAGAAGATCTTGATTAGGTTAAAACCGAAACAAGCCATTCACACAGAACGCATATTCAGCGCATTTTCTAGACGGACAAATATGACTGCTGCACTCGTGTCTCGCAAGAGATGTATAGAAAGCCATGCAAAGTTAAAAAAGTTTAAACTTTTAGAAAACACGTCACGAATTTGTGGAGGTTTATTCCTTTTCACTGCGTCTCATATGCTTCGGCTCTTTGGATTAAGCAATGCATAAATACATGATGCTTATTAGTCGAATTTAAAATAAACATTTGCATTTGAATGCAAAAATAGTACAATCAAATGTTAGGTGTGCGTCAGTGGAGCGCGAGATGCAGTGATGATGAAGTAAGTGACGTTGTTGCACGAGCTGCTGCGTTACTCATTCAAAATATTAGAGAAATATAGAAGCTCAATGCGGAGAAGATCTTGATTAGGTTAAAACCGAAACAAGCCATTCACACAGAACGCATATTCAGCGCATTTTCTAGACGGACAAATATGACTGCTGCACTCGTGTCTCGCAAG